CTTTAGGGAAGTAATTAGGATTAGACATCCTCACCAGGGTGGAGTCCTCATGTTGGAATTCTCATGTATTTGTAAGAAGAGGGAGACAGGCCAGAAGAGACACACAGGAGCACTTCCTGTCTCTCGCCATGTCATACTGTGTGCCCAGCAGAACTCTGAACAGCAAGAAGGCAAATAAATGCCTCACACAATGAATAAATCTGAGAACTGAGCTGTGAACCAAGATAAACCTCTTTCTCTCTATGAATGACCCAGTCTGTGGTATTGTGTTATTAGTAATAAAAATTGGATAAATATAAACATGTATTATGAGAACTAAACTTCTGTGGTTCAAAGTCATCAAGACTTGAAAATTTATCTCAGAATATGCTTAACCTATCCTGACAGACATATATTTCCTGGGTAACTTCATAAACCCCCTCATCTTCAGCTGGCATTCATGTACTGACAAATCAAGATCCACAACTCCAGTTCTCACTCCTGAAATCCAGACACTTATTTTATCTGCCTTTGGGATTTCATATGCATTTCAATTTGGCTAGTCTAAAATGAACTCATTAGCAGTAACTGCATTTTTTTTTTTTTTGAGAATTTCTGTCCTGGGTGCTCCTCATGCCTTTTACATGAATTGTGTCATTCCATTTACATAATAACCCTGAGAACTAGATATTATTCGTATCCCTGGTTTAGAACCTAAATACCAAGGAGAACAAGAAGTGGTAAAGGAGATGGAAAGTACAGTGGGAGGGTTGGAAGGAGAATCTTGAGAGCCAAGAAAAGGGAGCGATCCTCAATATGGTGTGCTACAGACACATCAAAGGAGGTGCGAGTAAAAAGACTGTACTACTTTGCAATCATACTACATAGAGGGAAAGAGTACAGGGGATTTTAGAGGGTAGAGAGGATAAAGATGGAATTAGAACTTGGAAAAAAGAAAAAAAAAGAAAACTTCTTTTTTTAAATTAAATTTTTAATTGTTTTTTTAGATATACACGACAGAAGGGTGTATTTTAACATATTATACATACATGAAGTATAATTTATTCTAATTAGGATCCCATTCTTGTTGTAATTCCCAGTCTTTTGAATTTTGAAACAGGCTCCTGCTAAGTTGCTGAGAGCTTCACCAAGTTGTTGAGGCTGACCTCAAACTTCTATCCTCCTTCCTCAGCCTCCCAAGTCTGGAATTATGGGCATGCAACCCCATGTGGGGCTTCAATGCCTTTCTAATAATAACCTGTACCTTCTTTTCTTTCCTTTCTTTTTTTTCTATTTTTTAGACCCTTCTTAGAATAGGATATACAATCAATCAACAAATATATGAAAAATGTTCATTATCATTAGCAATTAGAGAAATACAAATCAAAACTACTCTAAGATTTCATCTCACTCCAGTCAGAATGGCAGCTATTATGAAGACAAACAACAATACGTGTTGTTGAGGATGTGGGGGAAAAGGCACACTCATACATTGCTGGTGGGACTGCAAATTGGTGCAACCAATATGGAAAGCAGTATGGAGATTCCTTGGAAACCTGGGAATGGAACCACTATTTGACCCAGATATCCCACTCCATGGTCTATACCCAAAGGACTTAAAAACAGCATACTACAGGGACACAACCACATCAATGTTTATAGCAGCACAATTCACAAGAGCTAAACTGTGGAGCCAACCTAGATGCCCTTCAGTAGATGAATGGATTTAAAAAAAAATGTGGCATATATACACAATGAAATTTTACTCAGCAGTAAAGGAGAATAAAATCATGGCATTTGCAGGTAAATGGATGGCATTGGAGAAGATAATACTAAGTGAAGTTAGCCAATCCCAAAAAAACAAATGCCGAATGTTTTCTCTGATATAAGGAGGTTGATTCATAGTGGGGTAAGGAGGGGGAGCATGGAAGGAACAGATGAACTCTAGTTAGGACAGAGGGGTGGGAGGGGAAGGGAGGGGGCATGGGGTTATTAATGATGGTGGAATGTGATGGACATTATTATCCAAAGTGTTATGTATGAAGACATGAATTGGTGTGAATATACTGTGTATACAACCAGAGATATGAAAACTTGTGCTCTATATGTGTAATAAAAATTGTAATGCATTCCGCTGTCATGTATAAATAAGAAAAAAAATAATTTCTTAGCTGAAAGAGGGCCCAAGGTTGAAAGGTTTAATTTGGGAAATTTTTGTTTGTTTGATTGTTTGAATATAATGTTTTATTAATAAAGTGTGACTAGAGCACAATTTTAAAATGTCTACAATAACTACATCAAAAATGTATAAATACAAGTGTAATCAACATGACATTCCCATGATAACCATTGGTACTGTGAGTCAATTAAGCTCATTTTCTTTGCATTTAATCTAAGCTGTATGCTCTGTTTTTGAATTAAATTTCCTTCTGATACATGAAAACAAAAAAAAATGTATCAGTTAATGGAGTACCATGTGATATTTTCATACATGTATGAACTGAGTAATATGTAAATCTATGTACACATATCTGTTTCCTCCAACATTCTTCATTTCTTTAAAGTAAAACTTTCAAAATCCTTCCTTCTAGCTATTTGAAATGTACAGTATATTATTGTTTCCTATAGTGACCCCAACTTCTTTCCCTATCTATAACTTAGTACTCACTGATCAACCTTTACCCGCCCCACCTGCCCCCTACTCTCCCCAGTCTCTGGCAACCACTATGAGATCAGCTTTTCCATATTCCTCATGTGCATGAGATTGTGCTGCACCTGTCATTCTGTGCCTGGCTTATTTCACTTAACATAATGATCTCCAGTTCCATCCATGCTGCCACAAATTGCGAGACTTCATTCATTTTATAACTGAATAATGCTTTACTGTGTATGTATACCACACTTTCTATATCCCTTTATCGTAACAGATACTGAGGTTGTTTCCATTTCTTGACTACTGTAAAGAGTGCTGCAATGAATGTGGGACTAGAAGATGTCTCTTTGACATGCTGATTTCATTTCCTTTGGTTTATAGCCAGTAGCAGGATTATTGGATCATCATGTGGTTCTATTTTTTATATTTCCCATCAAAAGTGTGCAAGGTTCCCTTTTCTTTGCATCCTTGATAGCACTTGTTGTATTTGGAATCAGGGATTGAACTTAGGGACACTCGAACACCGAGCCACATCCCCAGCCCTAGTCTGTATTTTATTTATAGACAGGGTCTCACTGAGTTGCTTGGCACCTCGCTTTTGAATTTGCGATCCTCCTGCCTCAGCCTCCCAAGCCACTGAGATTACAGGTGCACCACCATGCCTGACTTGTATTTGGTCTTTTTTTTTAGTTGTTGATGGGCCTTTATTTTATTTGCTTATGTGTATATGGTACTAGGAATCAATGCAGTGCCTCACACTTAATGAGGCAAAGTGCTCTACCGTTGAGCTACAACTCTAGCCTCTGTATTTGGTCTTTTTGATAATAGCTTTTCTTACCGGGGTGAGGTGATAGTTCATTGTCATTGTAGTTTTGATTGGCCTTTCCCAGATGATTAATAATACTGACCATTTTTTCATATACCTGTTGGTTCCTTGCAGCTCTTCTTTTGAGAAATGTCTGTTTTGGTCCATTAAATTAGGTTATTGATTTGGTTTGGTTTCTCTCTCTCTCTCTCTCTCTCTCTCTCTCTCTCTCTCTGTGTGTGTGTGTGTGTCAATTTTTTTAGTTCCTTATATATTCTTGTGTCTCTTCACACTGTTGATTGTTTTCTTGGCTGTGTGTAGAAGTTTTTAATGAAATTTAATGTTTCCAGTTTGGCAATTCTTGCTTTTGCTTCCTATGCTTTTGGAAGCCATTCCAATGTCCTGAAGTATTTCCCATGTGTTTTATCCTAGTATTTTATACTTTCAGATGTTACATTTAAGTTTTTAATACATTTTGAGTTGACTTTTGAAACTGGAGAGAAATAAGGGTTTAGTTTCCTTCTTCTGCATGTGGACATCCAATTGCTCCAGCACCATTTATTGGAAACAATATCCTTTATTCATTGTATATTTTTAATGACTCTGTTGAAAATCAGTTGGTGGTAGATGTATGGAGTCACTTTTAGGCTCTCTATTCTGCTCCATTGGTCTATGTGTCTTTTTTTAACACCAATACCATACTGTTTTGATTATTGCATATTTGAAGAATATTTTGAAGTCAGGGATTGTAATGTTTTCTGCTTTGTTCCTTTTCACTCAGGGTTGTTTTGGCTTTTGGGGTATTTTTGCTTTTGCTGTTGTTCCATGAAAATTTCAGGATTGTTTTTCTAATTCCATGAAGGATATTCTGATAGAGATTATACTGAATCTGTAGATCACTGTGAGTAGTGTAAATACCTTGACAATATTGATTCATCCAATCCATGATCATAGGTTTTCTTTCCATTTTTAGGTGTGTCCCCCACCCTTTTTTTAAGAGACAAGGGCAAGATGAGAATTTAAACATAAAAGAAAAAATTAGAGGCTATTTGAAGTTATTCGATGGTAGAGTCTTTAGGAAGACCTCTGCAGAAATGGAACAATGTGCACAGATACAGAATTTAGAGTTCTACAGGAAAACAGAATTTCTATTCTTCTGAAATTAGGTAAGAAAAGGAGGAGTACAGACAATTTTGAAGGAGTCAGGATTTTAAAAAGTTCATGTCTGATATTCTCAAGAAACCTTGTTAATATACCAGGGCCATCTGCTGAGAATTCTAAGAGGACAAAGCAGAGGGCATACTTAAAATATTTATTTAGGCTTACAAAAATAATGAGGTTAAAAAATTAAATATTAAAGATGGAAATTGGAAAATACTTTTTTAGAAAATAATAAATTCCATAATGAGTAAAGAGTGAGTACTTATTCTTGGCCCCAGTCACCTTCTGTTTAATCATTCATGAAGCTATATATAGCAAGATGATGGTTGCTTAAAGGAATCTGAGACATTGTTATCAATAGTTTTAATTTCCTCTAAGAATAAGCCTCTTTTCTAAAAAAAACTTTGTTTCCTGTAGTTTGTCCCCTCAATCATTGTCCCCAAGACTCAGAAGTTGTAAAAAGATGCAGGTGTAGACTCGAGGCCCAGCTTCTTCTTCAACCTTGTGGAAAGAGACTGTCCATCTTGAGAAAGGACCTTATGCTCCCCTTTGCCACTTGGACAGAGCCTGGGGAAAGAGACCTCTGAGGACTAGCCATGTGAATGGGATAAGCTTCTTATTAAAGCGACTTAACTTGTTCCTAATGTGTGATTTAAGTGACTTCTTATATTGAGAAGAAGACCAGTCAAACTGAATGATCACTACTCAGGGAATCAGCAGAGCTAACCTCTCCTCGTTCAACCACCAGCTAGTCATCACCTGAAAACAGCCTCACTTCTCCTTCTTTGCAATCACCCACTTGTCCACTCCAGATCAACACTCAGGTCACCTCCTTCTACTTCACCTCCTCACCCACAACTACCCTGACCTTTGAAAAGAAAGAAGATGCAAGAGAACAAAGCATTTTGGATAAATTCCCAACAACTAGAAACTTGGTCTCTACTAATGAAGAACTCGCCCTCATAACTGTGACTATCTCCTCCATGGTCCAGAGTACTCCTGGATCCCGGGACCTTCTGGTACAAGGACTGGAACAGCATAGAAGTCCCTGAGGCTCCCAATGGACTGTAAGAAAGTGTGTTTTTATGTGTGTGTGGGTGTGTAACTATGAATGCCATGTGGAGTCTGTGCATGTATGTGTGGCATGTGTATGAGGTATGCATTGATGTGGCACTGCCGTCATCAGTACATCCTACGAGACAAGGTAGCATTATTGGTTCATGGAAGTTTCTCCCTTGTGCAGTAAGTCAGAGGACCTCACTCCTGCCATCCTGTGTTTCTGCTTTCCCAGCCAGAAATGATCCACATCACTTTCTTTCCATTTCCTTGTTGAGTACCAATCATAAAACCCATCTTGAACCAGTAACTGTGACCCTTTGACAAGGTTTTCTCTCATCAACAACTGGGAAGGGGAAGCACCAACACTGAAGGACAGTCAGCCGTCTCTGTCACAGCCTACCTCTCTGATGCACCCTTCCTCCCACTACCACCCTAAGGATGTTAATTTCAAGCCCTGCCCAGTGGCTATGCCTGGGACAAAATCCAGGATATTCTGCTTGTGTGCAATGTTCTTCAGTAGGGACAGATGGGTCTCCTCCAAGGCCAGTGAGCTATGCAGTCCAATGAAAATTTCATTTGTAGAAGGGAAGAATGGGAGCTTCTCAGCATCCCTGGTCCAGAGCAATATGAAATCCTCACAGGGAGCAAGAACAAAGACCTCGCATCACAGCAGTTTAAGCTGTTCCTTGTTTTGACTTTGCCTCTGCTTACTCTGAGGAATTCCTTCATGCATTGCTCTCCACGGCCCCTGGTTCTGTTTACCAGCCACTTCTTGTCTGTTGTCTTCCATGGCCACATTTGAAATGAGCATTGAGAAATGTGTCCTCCTGGAGGACTACATAGATCTTCCACCCCTGTCCTGCTGATGCAGTTCAGAAGTCTTTGGGCTGGTTTCTAATCGTGAGGTTTCTAAATTCTGGAATATGTTGACTTTGCCAACATGATTCCCTGAAAAACTTAGTGGAGCTGGCTATGGTGGTACATGCCTGAAATTCCAATGACATGGGAGGTTGAAGAAGGAGGGTCACAAGTTCAAGGCCAGCCTTGACAACTTAGTAAGACCCTATCTCAAAAGAAAAAGTAAGAAGGAGTGATAGCTCAGGCTATCACTGATATAAGTGATAAGACCCTATCTCAAAAGAAAAAGTAAGAAGGAGTGATAGCTCACAGCTGCAACCTTTCTTCAAGTCAGGTAATATTTACAGGTCCCAGGAATTAAGGCCTGACATTTGGGGGCATGTTATTCATCCTCCTAACATTAGGATAGCAGGCCATTCATTCTATCTGATGAGGGGAGCATCGAGGGTTGAGTGGTTGTGTATGCATGAAAGGAATATTATGGAATATGTGTTCCAGGGGGTGTGTAGGAGATAACTGTATTTGTGGTTTGGGGGGGACTATGTATCTTTTTTGTGTGTATGTTGTGTGTGCTATTTGTGTTTGGGAATGTGATGTGTATATACCTGACAGCATGCAATGTGTGGTTGTGTATGTTTGTAGTGTGATTGAGTGTTTTATAGAAGAATGTACATCAGTATTATATGTATGCCTGCGATATGACTTGTTGGGTATATGTAGTGTAACTATGACTTAAGTGATATTGTGTAGCATGTGAGGGTGCTTGTACATCAGTGAGTTGTGAGGTTGTAAGTGCTTTGTGTGTTTGTGGTACTATGGTTCTATGGTAATGTGTTTGCAAGACCAGTGCATGGTGTGTGTGTGTGTGTGTGTGTGTATATATATATATATACACACACACACACACACACACACACACACACACCATGTGCATGGTTTGGTGAGTATTTGTACACATGTGTATATGTACTCTGTGTATGTGTGCAAGATTCCTTGAAGCCTCAGTTCAGCACTTCTATAACTCCCATCATGACTAATACTTCATCAATAACCTTGCAAAATCCAGATTTAGCAACAGCCAAAACTTACAAATAAAAAAACTTCCAGCTTTGAAGCTCCTAGCGCCAGAATCTTTGTAAGTTAAACATAGTTTCCTATTTTCTTCTGTCCCAGAGGACTCCTTTTGGCCCCCATGCCCTCGTCCCTCCTTAGGACTTTAAGGAATTTACTGGTCTCTCCCCAAGAACTCTGAGAGAGAGGAGTTTTCAGGGATAAACTGTGAGCTGTGTCCTTGCATGCAATAGACAATGTCATTCCAACCCTGTGGGTGCCTGATTAACAAGGTGAAAAATGCGAAGGGGTGGGTTGGGATTTGGAGGGGAGGGGAATGGAAACACCTGCTCTTTGCTCTGTTGTCTCTACTTTGGCAAAGCGAACAAAAGCCCAAGATTTTCATATACATGAGGTTGACTTTGTTGTAATATCTTGTCATTTAAATTGAGTCTTTAATGTGCAGTAGATTTCCCGCCCCCTCCCAAACTTTCACCATCAAGAAGAATCCAGTATCAAAGGAGTGCAGGCACTCAATTTCACGAATCAATAAACACAGCTTCTGCATTAATTACCATTTTCAGCTCCTTGGAAAAGAGTGACAAGAATTATCAGGAAGATATTCATTATTGCTGGGCTTTATCTGATGGAAATGAATTTCTTGCTACTCAAAAACTGAAGATTCCCAAATGAGAGCAAGCTATCACTTGAGGGAATAGGACTGGCTACTTCTAGAAAGTTCCTCAAACATTTCATTAGTAACATTGGGCAACAGGTAAAGCTTCTCCTTCATGCAGTCTTCTCTCATGAGCAACCTGATTCGGTATGATGCTCTTTCTAGTTCTGCCTTTTGATAGCCAATTCAAGCCTCTGTTGGTCACAACCATACTATGTGACCCCATAGTCAATCTATCCCAAGCCGGTCAATATCCTATGCTAATAATGATGGCAACTCATGTTCACTGGAGCTGAGTTCATGGCAAGAGTTTAATTTCTGCTCTAAGACCCCATAGTTGCCATAGGATCTGTCCTTCCAAAATCAAGGTTGGTCAACTCTTCCTTTAATGTCACCAGTTTCCTTTCTTTCTTTTTTTTTATAGGCTAGGAAGGATTAGTTTCTGTTTCTTGAAACCTAAAGAAATTAAATTAGTATTTCCTTTGGGATGGAGTTTAATCACCAGGGTAATTATATTTTTAGCATGTTGCTGAAAGTAAGCCGTAAATCCTCCTGGAGAAGTCTCAGGGTTTCCAATAGATAGATTACCTTCCCCACGTCCCTCATATTTTAAAACAAATTACAGGAGACTTAAGAATTCATCACACTTTACTCAGAGACTTGACTCTTTTCATACCAAAGTGCACTTGCAGTTGGGGAACCCTGGCAGGAGATAAAATAGAAAGTAGACAACAGGACTAGAGAGACCTCTGTTCAAGTCCCCAGAGGCTTCCCCCGACTCCTCCTCAGGCAGCTTCATAGAACATTCCCCGAGGACCCCAGAAGGCGACTTTCCGGCAAGTTCTACAACCTCATGTTTCAGTGACTTCTGTGCCATCTAGGGAGCCCCAGCTCCGGAGGGTCCTTTACAGTGTTGTCTGGAACTCGGCCCTGGATTGGTCCTTTCCTGACTGCCCTTTAAATCTGCTATTCCTGTGTTCTTTAGAGTTATCTTCATTTCCTATTAACCAATCCCTCACTATATCAATCCCCTGTTAGAGTTTATCATTTTTATACTAACTTTATTTTAAAATACCTGTATTATTTCTCTCTCCTAGGTGCACCCTGACTGACTGATGGAGTTAGCATCCCCATTTTAGAGAATTAGTACCCCAATTCTGTCTGACTCCAAAACCTGTTCTACCAGACCTGGAGGATCCCACATATATTCAGTAGTTTAATAGGGCAATGTCAGGCAAAGCCTTTAGTTTTAATGTCTTCTAAACTACTACTACTACTAGTGATTTGTAGACCCAGGCCAGTTTGCAAACTGTTTTTTTTTTTTTTTGCTGTAGAATTCCCACCCCCTCCCAAACTTTCACCATCAAGGAGAATCCAGTAGCAAAGGAGATATCTCCAGCTGGAGATAATTCTCAGTGTTCTTGCAGGTGTGCAATGAGATAAGGACAAAAATTGAAACAATACTGCTACTGCTGTGACTTGGATGTGGTTGGTCCCCCAGAGGTTCATGGGCTGGAGGTTGGTCTCCAGCGTGGTGACGTTGAGAGGTGATGAAAACTTTAAGAAGTGAGGCCTAGATTAAGGTGATCGAGTCTTTGCCTCAAGTCATTGATGTTCACACAGTATGACGAACGTAGTTATTAATACTGTATTGTACATTTCAAAATTGCTAAGAGTAAGTTTCAAATTTTCTCACTACAAACAATTCAAGGTGATGGATTGATGGAGATGATAATGTGAATAACTTAATTATTCTGCATTGTATTCATAAAGCATAACATTACATTGTATTCATAAATGTATACACATATAAATTGTCAATTTACTACTAAATTTTAAAGGAAGAATTTAATACTACTATAACATTCAAATCTGTTTTCCATCTTTATCGTATTTTTCAAAAATACAGCTCCACAAAAGATTGGTAATCAAAACCAGAAAGACAAAAAACAAAAACAAA